ATTTGAATCCCGTGTCCTCATAAATGACTCTACTCGACGAGTTGGAGCTCCCCAACTCATCGAGTCCAAGCCTAAAACCCTAAAATTTGAAATTTTAAATTATACCTGGAACATGTGTTACAATTGCAAGAGAGGAATAATAAAACACACACACTTGTAAGGCTTATGAACACCATCAATAAAGAAGAAAACAATAGGGTACCACATTGTACTGGATTTATTAATTCAAGATTGATATTCAATTTTGCAGAAAAAAAAAATCTCTATAGTAAAACTCAATCATAGCCAAAATATTAAAAAGACATCGATTACAGATGTTGACATAATTAGAAATCAAATGCAGCTATACCGAACTTGAATTAAGAAATCGATTATATACAATCTATAATATAAACCTTACCTAAGTATGGCCGGTGGAATATGGGTCAACAATTGCACTAAAATATTTGATGTATACCTTCAAAATGCATAAAAATTTGGTTTTTATATTTATATGTATACATTCAAAATGCATAAAAAATCGTTTTCTATATTTATATGTACATATACTAAAAATGAATTAAAGTAAAATAGTGAATTAAAGAGTTAATGGAAATGGACAAACTATTCCATTCAACCATTTTAGCGAATAGTTGGTGGGCAAGGATTGTTACAGAAAGAATGAAAGAAAAAAAATTTGGAAATACCAATAATATATCAGAATAAGAAAAACATATGTACTATATTCGATGCTCTTGCAAAAGTTGATAGGTTCGATGAAACTTACATGTTATTCGAAGGGTGGGTCTTTGTTTATGTTTTTTCTTGTTGCTATCAAATACAAAAGTAGCCACACATTAATATTTCTATCTTTGAATCGCACACACAAAAGGGTCAAACTTTCGCGCCTTGGCTACGACGCCATCGTTGCCGATGATGATTGACAACTCAAACCCTCCTTATTCGATCACATGATGGTAGAGGTTTCATTCGTCATTAAGAAAATAGGAGGAGGCAGAATACATACTGATATGGTAGGTTAGGAAGAAGGTTTGGTGATGGGGCTCGACGACAATGGTGATAACCAGGCGAATGATTTAGTAGATGAGGGTTTATGTGTGTATTTGTGTATGTGAATACATAAATGATATATGACTTGTCTAACTGATACCCATTATTTTAGGGATTATAATTTTGGAATATAAATAATTATACATACATAATGACTATACTATCATTTATTATTTAATTGATGATTTTTTTTTCCTAAATTCCGATTGGTCAGTTCATGCACATAATAGTTGTTGGAAACATTTGAACCTCTGTGTGTGTGTATATATATATATATATATATATATATATAATATTGCCCCTTGTAATTGTTTGTTTGACACCAAATGTCTCCAATTTTTAAAATTCTAAATCCGCCCCTGGTTCCAATTGTATGACATATGTGCTATGGATATGATCCAAATCCGCCCAATTCAATTTTTTATATATAATTTTTGACAAATTTTAAAAACCGACACAAATCCAACCATTCATTTTTTACAAGATTTTTCATAATTTATTTCTTAAAATTTGATACCCCGGATTTACCTTACTCGACTCACTCAATTAGTTTTTTTTTTGGTTTTTTTTTTCATACAAGTTTAGCCCGAGTTTCAAATTCTTTTTACAAATTACCAACTTTGTTTTGTATCTTTTTTATTATTATTATTATTATTATTATTATTATTATTATTATTATTTTATATAACTTTTTTATATTTTTTTGTAAAGCTTTGTTATGACGAATTATTATTATTATTTTTTTAACTCTTTTACGTTTTCCTTTTTATGCATAAATTTTTAAGATTTTCCTATTGTTACATTCTTTATACATGTTTTTTTAATATATAGTTTTTATTTTTACATAATACTTTTTGTTAAAGAATATTTTTATTTGTATATATATATATATCCGTTTCATATATATACAGGATTGTAAAAAAAATATAAATTTTCTTATATATATTGACAAACAAAAATAAATTATTTTAGATATAAACTTTCTACAAAGCACACGAGTATATATCCCTTACGTAATCACAAAGACACCAAATTATATATTTTCGCATATAAAAACAAATAAATAATTAATAGGCTCACTAAAAAAGTTTATCTTATAAGGAATAATTTTATTAAAATAGGAAAGGGGCTTTGTCATCACAACTCCCAAATCCCAAAGAAAAGGGTAAAGAGTTTGAGTTGGGAACAGGAAAGCATGGGGGTATTATAGTAATATACCCAAGCATAACGGCTATATGGCCAATCCTGTAAAAGGCAACCCCACGCTGCATCAAAGAGAAAACGCCGGCACCTGAAGCTGAGTAACCCCAGTTCATCTGTTCCAGATCTGCTCACCCTTCGCCATGAACATCTTCAAGAAGAAGACATCACCCAAAGGTCAGTAACTCCAATCCACTTCATTTCTCGTATACTTTCTCTTTCTCTTTTACTTTTTTCTTTTCCGAATCCTAATTATGATGTTAACTCTTTAAAGTTCGTCAAATCAAGTGTACATGTTGCTTTCATTGTGAGTTAATTTCTTTATTTCTAGACAAATGAGAAATGACACAACCTTACCTCATTTGTGAAAACAATTCTAATTGCGGAAAGAGGGAGAATGTATGATGGTGGGCATAACTTTCGGTTTCCACTTTTCCAGTGATCATTGTTATGGTTCTTCCGAAGACGACTGCTTTATGTTGTAGCATTTTGAAGATTTTAAAAAAGGGTTTAAGCAACAATGACCTAATTGCTAATTCGGGTCATAAAGATTCTCTTGTGTTGTGCTTGATAAGTAGTAAAACAGTTTTCTAAAAACAATTGGAAGTTCAGTTTTCTATAAACGAGACGGAGGAAGCACATCTTTTGATTCTTTATCTGTTAGATGATAAATCGCTTCTTTTTTTGGTCAATTTACAGATGCACTGAGGACAAGCAAAAGGGAAATGGCTGTAGCCACACGGGGTAAAGATTATTTCTTCTTATGGTTTATTTTGGTAAAAATTAAAGTTCTTCTGAACAATTTTTTTTGCAATAGAAGGACCAAATTCGGTCAGTAAAACAATGAAGTTACTACCTTTGTTTTGAAATTATAAATACAATTCTTGCTATGTAAATTCTACCTTTTATATGCAACTATGTGTGTTTTTGGTGTAATGCTTATTAGAACCTGGAAAAAAATTCTGCTTCTTAACATCATACAAACACTTATTTAGAAGTTAACATGTCTCATTGTCTTTTATCATGCATGATCTTTCTCTAATTGGCCAATTAAGTCACTTTTTTGTGTTTTACCCTTCACAAAGAAGTTTTTTCTTTCATTTGATGGTTAGGATCGATGGGGATCAAGCTTGAAACACCTTATTTTTCATATACTTTCTATACAGACTTTTTTGTTTTTTTTTTCTAGTATTTCTGTTTCATCCAACCTCTGAAAACCCCAAAGGTACTTTTTGTGATGACCCTAGTCAACCACAACCAACTTGTAGAGTATTATCGATATCAGATAAATTTGTGATTTAAGTGTTGTTTATTTTGACTAAATGAACTTGATTTGCTGCAATTGCAGGCATTGAACGTGAAATTGCATCCTTACAAATGGAGGTGTGTTATAATGGCTGAGATTAATAATACATATATTTCTTTCCATATTCAATTGAATGCATGAACAAATTTGTTTTTCAGGAGAAGAAATTAGTGGCAGAGATTAAAAAGACAGCTAAAATTGGGAATGAGGTTAATACATTTTTAAATATCAAATTATGTCTGCATAATGTTTCCAAATCTTGAGGTTTTTGCATCATTTTAATTGTCTATATTAGTAAAATGAGCAAAGTAGGTTGCTATTTCCTGCAATTTGGTTCTTCTTTTTTATATTTTGATTAAATCAGGCTGCCACCAAGATATTAGCTCGTCAGCTTGTTCGTCTTCGACAACAGATAACAAATTTGCAGGGGAGCCGTGCACAGATCAGAGGCGTAGCAACTCATACACAAGTATTTATTTATTTATTTATTTAATCATGCATAAATTATATATTTGGGGACAATTATCTAATGGATTTAGGGTTTTTATCGTTATGCAGGCTCTATATGCCAACACTTCAATTTCTACTGGAATGAAAGGTGCAACAAAAGCAATGGTTGCTATGAACAAGGTATACATACCATTAGTAGAATTTAAAGCGTGTTGCTATAATATTTAAAACTATATTAGACTGCAAGATATAGCAAAAGATACTTATTAAAATTTCCTGCTGTATTCAGGAAATGGCACCCGTGAAACAAGCTAAAGTGATCAAAGAATTCCAGACACAATCGGCTCAGCTAGATATGACGGTAACTTTCTTCATGTTCAGTCAGAGTCACACAGTCAGAGTCACAGTCACAGTCAGTTTTTGGGTTGGTACGTAACTTAACTTAAACTTGTTGGTTATTTGTGTTTAGATTGAGATGATGTCGGATTCGATTGACGAAACGTTAGATAAAGATGAGGCTGAAGAGGAAACTGAGGAACTTACAAATCAGGTAGAGATGAGATAATTGTGTTTGTATGTTTTATTATTCGAACATTTTTTGGGGGATAAAATGTGACATGCTTTTGTTTGAGTTGTGTAGGTGCTTGATGAGATTGGTGTAGGCATCGCATCACAGTTATCTTCAGCACCAAAAGGTCGAATCGGACCCAAGAAGGTTGACAATGCTGCCCCAAGGTATAAATAAGATGGATATATAATAATAATAATAATATGTAAATACAAAAAAGGATGTTTTATCAGACAAATAACCATTGTTTATTGTTATTATGAAAATTGCAGTTCGGTCACAAACGATGTTGATGATCTTGAGAAGAGACTTGCTTCCCTTAGGCGCCTGTGATCTTCAAGTCTAGTAGTATCTATATGTATATGAAGTATCTTGTATTACAACGAATTCTTTGTTTTTTTTTTTTGGATTATATCACATTTGTCCTAAAAATATAGATTTATATAAAAATAGTTATTAAAACGTTTATATGGTAATGGTAGCACATACATTTATTTACATTCATCCCGATTCATTTAACATTTCCTTACGTCTCTGGAGCTTGTATTATTCCCTCCCATAATGCGTTCTAATTGCTTCACCACCTGCATGCCCATTATATAACTATCAAACAACCCTAAGATGATGTCTGAACAAATGATCGATTTACCCTATTTGATAACTGATCACATCAAGTCAAGTCTGAAAACTTACATATGCCATTGTATGTCTCTTGGTAGGATCTTTCTTGAGACAACCTTCTGCTAGTCGTACCATAAGATATAATTGGAAGACTTGGACATCCGGGGAATCAACAATCCGCTCATCAATTAAATCTGGATAATTCTGATCTTCCACAAGCGGTCTTGCCTGCCAAAAAAACACCACAATCAAAATTAAAACTTGATAAATCATGCATGCATAAAGATTTATGAATTTCCTTAATTACCCATTCCACTAGGGTTTTCCCATCGAACTTCTTCTCTTTTGTCTTACAACCTGTGATCAACTGTAACAAAACGACACCAAACGAGTAAACATCTGTCTTTCTTGACACTTTCCCACATTCGGCATACTCTGGTGCCACATACCCAAGGGTCCCAACCACACTCGTCTCATCTGTATCATCACAACCGGTTCTTGCTAGACCAAAATCACCTAGCTAATTAATGTACATTTTAAAATCAAGTTAATTAGATCAACTTACTTGCAAATGTTATATACATAATACATTTTAGATGCTTATCAACATTACCAATGATTCGTAGTCATGTGTTACGAGAATGTTATTTGGCCTCATGTCTCGATGTATGATGTTTATTCTATGAAGATAATCTAAACCTCTTGCGGCTCCAAGTGCGATCTTTATTCTCTTGTCCCATGTCAGTGGATTCGGATTTTCCGCAGCTGCTGCACATTTAGCAACATAATTTATACAATTCTACAAAAGGGTTATTTTTTCAACAACCCTAGAGCAACATCATGCATGTGATTTGTGAGATGTTTTTAGGGTTACACAACCCCATCTAGCCAATTTAGCCTGATCCACATTGGAATTGAAACTCTTACACTGTATCTGTTGAGACTCGAACTCTTAAGCATTAGCAAAGGAATAACTTTTTTAAATCGAATTTTGTCCCTAAATCTATTGCATCCTTCACTAAGGGCTGATTATCTTGTATCATATATCTACCGAATAATCTATATGTGCTTACTTGATAAGTGTTGGTCAAGTGAGCCAAAGCAGACAAACTCATAAACAAGCAGCCTGTGTGTTCCTTCAGAGCATGATCCCAACAACATGACCACATTCGGGTGTCGAGCCATGCTGAGTACATTAACTTCAGACTTGAACTCTTTCTCTCCTTGAAAACTTGCATCTTTATGTTGTTTGATAGCAACTTTTAATCCACCATGGATATTGAGCTCTCCTTCATACACAGAACCGAATCCTCCTTCTGATAGAAAGTTGTCTGAAGAGAAACCATCAGTAGCATGGTAGAGTTCGGTGTAATTGAAGTCTAATTGCTTTAACTGAGTACTTGGACGTTTATTCTGGCAAACTGAACAAATGGAACATTCAAACTCTTCTTCTTCATGATCATCATTTGTCCAACTGGAATTCATGGTGGATACTTCAGAAGTCCCAAAGCTGGAGGTGGAGGCCTTGGATGGAGATGGGGATATCTGGTCAGTGGATGGTGGGGAGGGTGAGAAGTGTGATTTATCCCATGGTGGTGCACCACTGCTGCCGCCACCTTCCGGTTTAAATGCTGGCTTTTGAGCATTTGTAGTTTCTGGAAAAGAAAGAGGTGTTATGATATATAGCATTCTACTTACTTTCACTTATTTTCTTATTATAGTATCCTAATTTCTTTCTTCTCATCATATCACATTGTGCTTTCAAAAAAATTCTTATTAACACATCATACTTTGACGAATCCACCTAATTATAGCATTGTACTTTCAGTTTTCATTATCATCAGTGGAAATAGATTTGAATTTGGGTGAGATTTATATAATTCGTTAGATTTTTTTACAATACAATGTTGTAATAGGAAGAAATGATATGATGTGAACTTAACCCTATAAAATACCTAAATTTTATGTAAAAAATTTGAACCTAATCTTATGCTTGGTTACTTAACGCGATGAAGAAACCAAATAAACCGCATTTTAATGCTAGAAATGTTTTAGTTTAATTTTGGTTTAAGGAAAAAACTGAATGATACTCACCCATAATAGGTGTCTTTGGTCTAGAGAACTTAATTAGATGAATTGCATGTTAGCATAATAAAGTATTTTGATCTTATTTTATGTTGGCCCTTTAGCTAGGTTAATCCTATAGTGCTTTGCTATTTATAGTCTTTTTTTTATCTTTCTTTGTAATTAAACTTTATCCTCAATAATGAAACCCTAGCCGTTTTCTCTCTAAATTGTCATTAGTTTACATTGTCAAGGTTACTCACTCTTTGGGGAGAGTTCTCTCTTTGACATTACGGGTATCATTTCACCATATGAAACATGCTCATTGCTTGGAGTCCTTTTTGATGACCGCAGTTTCTTGTCCTCCATTGTTATTGGTCCTCTGAGCTTTTCGACTGTGTTGTCTCGTTTCATCCTCAATATTCCACATGTAAGCTTCTCCATGAAGAACTTTCTGTCTTTTTTCATCTGCCTGCGTTGTGGAATTTTCAAAATACATTAAACTTATATTCTGGTAATAAGAGATCAAAGAAAATATCATTACAACTTAAAGTTTAAACCCACAAAACGACACTTTTTATCATACCTGTCAAGTACGACCCATGTCACCCTTGAGCTTTTGGCTGCCATGGCAGCAATCATCTTTGGAGAAGATCCATATTGCACATCTATCTGGAACATTATCTGGATTTTTTTTTTTTTGGATTAATAAGATCGTGTTTATAGAATACACAATAATTAACAATATAAATCAACGCATGAATATTCCATGAACAAAAACTAAAAGCATATGAATTTGCTACGAATGATACCTTGTTCCTTGCACAAATCGTGGACAGTTGCATCACTTCCTCTCTTTTATGATACTCCTCCTTCTTTATCCGTTCATCTTCCTTGTATTTGGTATTTGATCCACTTATGCTCATGATTTTCACTACAACACAAATTCCCTAATAAGGGTGTTTGTTTCTTTTTCACTTAAGAGACATGAATTAAACCCATGAACTATATATAAGTGTATCTTTCTTGCTTATAAAGAAGGCGAAAAACTTTCCTATTAAGTCCTAACTTTTTACAAATTTATTCTCGTTTACTTTTTTTCTTCTATTTCTCAAAGTGTGTGGCCATTAATTTTCTCAGATAACTTTTTAAATATCATCTATCCAGACAACACTTAATGGGAAAAGAAAAGAAACAAGCCAATAATGAATGATTACTCACAAGTACTTGAAAGCTGATGAATAACTCCAAGGAGAGTGAGCTCATCTCCTGATCCAACTGGTAAGCTCTCGAAGGCTGATATGATTGCACTCAAACCATCGGTTCTTGATGCATCATGTATCACCATCAGTTTTTGTGCTCCTGTGGACATGATGTTCTTCTACTTTCTCTGAACTACAATATGGTATTGGTAGGTTTATGGTAATTAGTCAATTATCTTGTACTGACTATTAGTTAAGTATCTAATAAAATACCTTTTATTCCGGCCATTCATGATAGAATTTATAGCAAAAGAAAGTTTTTATGATAGAATCACATTTTTGGGACATAACAAACGTCGAGTTTAAGTATATGTTAAGACTCCCACAGGCTACATCAGCTACATGTCTCTATATATATGTTGGAGTCTGACCTCTCTCTCACTCTCTTGAAGCACGTATATATATGAACAGATAGACTAAAGATCATATTAATAGATGAATTAACTAACCAAATTGGAATCATTAGGGAACATAAACAAGAAAAGGGACAGATCAATTTGTACCATGAAACACAAAGTATATCCTATAGAGAGTCCGTATAGGGACATGAAGCAGACGAGTTCGAGTTCATTCCAATCGTATATCGTATCCGTGGCGATGGGCAAACGAGTTTTTTCATTGTTGGGAACAAGAAAAGATTGTGCTTCTTAAGTACCATTTTTGTGAAACTTATGCTTTCTTGATTCTTGTTTTTTTCGGTTAATTAACAGCCAACTATGAGCTATGCTGCTGTTTAAGGTGATGATTACAAGGATTATGTTCCAATAGAAATCGTACGGTTGTCTTATTTTGGTACAAGGATTCCTAAGATTCAATGCTTACGACATCCTTTTTTTTGTGTAAACAACAAGCATCGTTTAGGAGACGCCCTTTGGATGTGAATCATAGTTTATATATGTAGAAAATACAAGGACTTTTGCCCTCATGGTAAACTAAAAATGGTTAGATAAGTATCTGTTGTCATGATGATCAAAGTTATGTATTTATGACATAAGACATGTTTATTGTTTCATATAATATTTCCCCACATTAGATTTTTTTTTTTTTTTTTTTTTTTTTTCCAGTACATACTTTTGCTGGAAAATAGTACCGATGGGCAAATTGGTAATTTTTATCGAAGTGTTCATTTTTGTCTTCTTTCTTTATGGGGGTTCTTCATATGTGATGAAAGCGACATAGTCCAATGTAACAACAAGAAACCGCATTGTAGCTTCTTATGTTGCGTCATGTTTGTTAGATGGAAACCACTGGAAATTTAGTATTTTATACAAAATGATATATGTATGCACCTTGTATTGTTATATAAGTTGTCGCATAAATATTCTGTTCATAATACATATATTATATAAATATCAACTTATGATTTATAAGAATTTAAATCCGTTTTGGTGGACCCGTTTATCTTTTATCTCACTCTTTTTGAAACTATTACATCTAAGTTTTCTAGGTTCCGAAGTATCTAGGTTCGTTTACATTTGTCTTTTTACTGGTGACATTAGATTGTTGTTAGTTATTACCGTTTTCAGTTGGAGAACATAGTTTTTTCTTGTAATTGTTAAAGTTTATAATAAGTAATAGTGACACAGTTTGATAGTGACTTTATTAAAACCAAATCGAATCAACCATCTTTCATAGGTTTAACCAATTTACTACTTTTACTACTGTCTGTTTGTGATTTCTGATCTTATACAATATGCTGACGAAATCACTTTTCTTTGTCTAAAGAATATGGATAAGGTTTGTGAAAAATGTAACTGTCATCAGTGTGGCTAAAGGTGGCGAAAACGATACAAGATATAACTACTCATTCTGAAAAAAGGAAAAGACATAAATGCCCTTATAAATGATTGAAGGTTTATGCCGAAAGCAGCGTCACAACAATAAACAGCACAGCAGCAAGCCCAAAACAGCACCCAACGATCACTGAGAAGGCCTATAGATTGTTACAAATCATTAGATTAGGGGTATTTTTTATTAGAATGAGGAGGACATTCACGTCTTTTGCAAAGATGAGAGATCAAAAGCAAGTCCATCTCCCACCTTGTTTCACCTTTTTGGTTGAAATTTTTTTTTTGAAACTTTTGTTTCATTGAACAGGACTAAAAAGACATGAGATATTTTGTAAGTGGGATGAACCTTTGCTTGTGATTTGAACTTGTATTTGGCCATGAACCATGATAGACCTTTATCAACTACAGGTGCAAGTGCTAGAGCCCTGCAAAATAAGCATACCTTTCAGACGATTTTGTCACTTAAACTAAACAGAGAGAGTTTGTGTGTGTGTGTGTGTGTGTGTGTGTTACTTGGCTCACCCTGCAGCTCTGATAAGTTTAGTTACTTGGCTTCCAGCCCAGACCATGGCCATCAATTTAACAAATCTGCACATCATTATTCAGTTCCAATTCTTACCACTAATTATTAGATGATAATGATGTTGATGATGATGATGATGATGATGATGAAGAAGAAACACCTTTTAACTGCTGTCCAATAACCCATTTTACCAGGTGCTGGGGCAATGTAGAACCTACACCATAAATAGACATAATTCCTGTTAAGTAAATATGTAAAGAGCATTGAATTGTAGAACATATGAAAGAGGTTCTATGTGATAATTTCATTGTTTGACATAAATATATGGACGTTAATTTCTTAAAGCTATTAACTTTATAGGTACAAAGCACTTACCATGCCACAAGAAAGGCAGAAAGATAATAAGCAGTGTTAAGTAGCCCGTAGGATAATATCCCTGAAATTCCATATCTTCTAAGCTTTTTCAATATCCTGAGAATTCCAAGGAAAAGGATAAGATGATTTTGTATGTATGAAATGAGTGAACGGAAATATTAAACTGATGATACATATTTTGTAAAAATAGCCTGATAAAGTTGATCAATAGTGATGAAAGACAAGTAGTTAGTACTCGGATGATGAGGATGACTTTTCTTGAGTTTCATTGCTTTCCTCTGAAGCTAAACAGAACATGTTGAATTTTCAGAAGCCTTGCATTAGAAGTATGTTTTCATATGTAGAATTGCTATTGTGTACGCATAAATCTATTGATCAATACCTTCTTGCTCTATAGAGCTGCTGGGAGAATATGATAGTTCATGAGGCTAACCTTGAAGTGAAGAGCTAACAATTAGCAATATGGTAAAACTTAAACTGTAATTAACATATCGTTAACAAGGCTACATCACACCGAATCTAGAATTTATTCCCAATTTTGATATAAGTGTGTAAACCCTGAAAGAACGACCAGCTAATTGAATATCATCCATCAAAATCAATAACCATATGTAATTTAGCTCAGATTTCGATAAAATATCAGATAATTCAATCAATGTGGCACATTCAAACATGGAAATTGTTACAGATTATTGGAACATCGTGTAAAAAGGAAATAATAAAACTCACATCGCCACCACGCACACACCGGAGTTGTATACATTCCCTAGTGATTTGGGCATGATTCATTTGAAACTGAAAGTGTAAACGAGTTGAAGACTCAGCAGGAACATCCAATGTGCGAAATCTACTCCTGACCTACAGCATTTCGCCCAGAAAAAAACCCAAAATTAGCAAAAGTTGTAGCATCAGTATAGAAATTGACGTTACAGGAAGCTTTACTTACATGGTCGAGGTGAGCTAGAGTGTTCAATCGCACACATGCGTTGCGAGACATGGATGGAACAATGAAACCAGGTGATAAGCGGAGAATTTCGATTGGTTAACGGTTCTCGTCGGAGGTTCGGGTTAAAATGGTAATTTCGAGTGTGTATGGGTTGGAACTTGGTAACGGATCAGGGTCGACCAAACCAATCCAAAATATGAAACAAAATGGCCCCGAAGAGGCGAACACAGACCGGACCATGACTTTTTTAGTTTTAGCAAAAAAAAAAAAAAAAAAAAAAAAAAAAAAAAAAAAAAAAATATTAAAATAGCCATTAAAATGATAGGTGAGACATAGGCACGCCACTTCCAATTTAGTCGTATCAGCTGCAAAATCGAGACATGCATTGCGATATATATATATATATATATATATATGGTAAAGTGAATATACCTAACAACCTTATATAAACTTAGGTACCTAACCACATCATATTACGTAACGTAATTTTGTATCATATTTGCATTGTAATCACCCAAAGTTCTTAAAATTGAACCTCATAACTTGATTACTTCCAAAATCTTTGGAGTTTCACAATTATCTTCCTTCAAATGATGTCTTTCTATCGGAGACCCCTTGATGGGCTTCATATACTACCGTTACAAATCAAATGGTGTAGGAGGAATATAATGGTGAATGTCTGAAAATCTTTAAAGTAAATCAAGTTAAGGGTTGAAGTTTAAAAACCTTAGACGATTGCAATGGAAATATAATGCAAAACGATGTAGTATAGTGTGGTTAGGTACCTAAGCTTATATAAACTTATATAAGGTTGTTAGGTATATATATATATATATATATATATATATATATATATATATATATATATATATATATATATATATATATAGGTATAAAAGGCTAAAATTTGACATTTGGAAAGTTTGAAATCCTAGATGGCATAAAATCATCTGCAATTTCCTGTGTCCTATGATTTTGTAATTTCCTTTTTCAATAAAAGTATAACATTTTAACTATGATTTATGACATTTTGACGATAATTTATATAAATTTTAAAGTACGAGTTGTATCGATTAAATTCAATGTTTTTTCAATTAGATTTGAACAAAAATATGAGTTCTAGTGAGTTTGGGAAGTGGGAGGCTGTTGATTATCAACAAAGATTTTATAAGCTTTTCATAACTCCATATAAACTTTGTTTGATTGTTTAATACTTGACAAGGGATTTCCAAGGACATATCACACTCAGTATTTGGTGTGAAAGTCTAAAACTGAATAACAATGAAACTAATAGTAATAAATGTTAACCTGAAATGGTTTCCTGCTACTTGTACACAACAAGAAGGTGACAAAAAGGATAGAACTTGCAGAGAGAGAACACATAGATTTTGGCTTCACGTGATTGCTTATTTGAAAATAGGAAACTGAAAAGCTAGATGTCATAAAGGCTTACATCAAAGACGGAAATACAGGGAAATAAACTACCCACTACATAGACTTGGACCACTAACTTAGACCAAGTCAATAACTAGAAAAGCATGGAAAATAACTAAATAAAGTAAACTAACACAAAGCTACAAATAGTAAGATAGAGATGTGCATCTTAGGTAAATGCACACACACGTGATAAAGGTGTTGCAATTTCATCATTCCTTCTCAACACCTACTTCCACCATGCCCATGATGTCACAGAAATCAACAAGCTTCTTATTGGATAAGCTCTTTGTGAACAGGTCAGCTACCTGGTCTTTGGTGTTCACATATATCAAGTTAATGTCACCATCTAATACCTTCTCCCGAATAAAGTGGTAATGAACCTCAATGTGTTTTGTTCGAGCATGGAATGTAGGGTTATTGGCTAGTTGAATGGAAGACATGTTGTCACAGAACAGTGAAATCTTGGAGCCCGCATCTTGATTCAGATCTTTCAGCAATTGTACAAGCCACATGCTTTCTTGAGTTGCCATGGATGCAGCTCGATATTCCGCTTCTGTTGTAGACAAAGATACACTCGGTTGACGTTTGCTACACCATGACACAACACTCGATCCAAGCATAAAGACATAGTCGGTTGTTAACCTTCGAGTATTTACATCTCCAGCATAGTCTGAGTCACAATATCCAACTAAGTTGCATTCTTGTTCCCTCTTAAACATGACTCCATAATTGATAGTTGTCTTTAAATACCTTAGAACTCTCTGAACAACATCTAGGTGAGGTTTTCTTGGGCTTTGCATGTATCGACTAAGTACTCCAACCACAAATGCAATATCCGGCCTTGTCAATGTCAGGTAAATAAGACTACATAGTGACCTGCTGAAGTTATTTGGGACACAGATAGAAGATTTTTTCTCATACCTGGTACATGGTACACACTATTGAGTTTTAACTCTTTCTTGTTGTTGTCTGGAGGAAAACATACATCGCCAGAGTCTACTGCCACCATAGGGAGTTTCGAATTATTTGCAATCACCACAACTCTACTGCCACCATACTTTGTTGCATTTTGTAGTTTTTCTTTATCTCCTGTCATATGATTCGAGCACCCAGAGTCTATGATCCATTCATCAAGTTTATTACAACTACTTTCAGAAGTAGCAGTAAGAGCCAAGACGGTTTCTTCTTTTGCAAAGAATGCTTCAGCATCCCAAGCCTCTTCGTCTTGTGTTGTAACTGCATTACCTTCCTCTGTAGGCTCTTTTTGACAATCACGAGCCATGTGACCCCTAAACCCGCAATTGTAACACTTGAATGGAAAGCGTTTACCGGATTGATGATTTTTCCTTTCTTTTGACGACTCTCCTTTCTCAGACTCACGATTCTTCTTCTCTGTTTCATGGTTTTTAGTTTTGTTGGAATTCCATTTATGATTCTGGTTGGAATTTGAATGAGACTTTCCTTTGCCCTTACCTGCAAACATGGCATCTTCTTCACTTTTCAGAGAAACACTACCCATCTGTTTTGCTAGGGCTTCTTGACCTGCCAACAAGTTTTCAAATTCAACCAAAGATGGTTGATTCGGCCAACCTTGAATTGCAGCTACAAAACTTCTGAATTCAGTTTTTAGTCCATGGATAATGATTCTTTTGATTTTGGATTCTCCAATTTAGGCCTGAGAATCAAGTTCTTCAATCTCTCGGCATAGTGATTTTACTTTATGAAAGTATTGAGGGATTGACAGGTCACGTTGTGTAACTGAGAGAAGTTCATTTTCAAGGAGTTGTAGTTTTGCATCGTTTTTCTTTGAAAAAAGTTCTTTCAAAGTATCCCATGTTTCCTTAGGGGTCTCTAAAACTCGTATGTGCTCTAGTACATCCTCTTCAACTGTTGTTTTCAGAATAAACATTGCCTTTCCTGCTTTAATCTTCCACTTCCTTAAGACCCAATTATTATCTTCAACTGTTGGTTGTCCTGTCTCAGCACCATTTACAACCTCCCACAGATCCTGTCCCTGCATATACGAAGATATGCAGGTGGACCAGGTGTTATAATTCTGATTGTTGAGTTTCTTGACACCACCAACAACTTGAAGTTCAACCATGGGTTATGCTCTGATACCAGTTTGTTAACCTGAAATGGTTTCCTGCTACTTGTACACAACAAGAAGGTGACAAAAAGGCTAGAACTTGCAGAGAGAGAACACACAGATTTTGGCTTCATGTGATTGCTTAATTGAAAACAGGAAACTGAAAAGCTAGATGCCATAGAGGCTTACATCAAAGACGGAAATACAGGGAAATAAACTACCCACTACATAGACTTGGACCACTAACTTAGACCAAGTCAATAACTAGAAAAGCATGGAAAATAACTAAATAAAGTAAACTAACACAAAGCTACAAATAGTAAGATAGAGATGTGCATCTTAGGTAAATGCACACACACGTAATAAAGGTGTTGCAATTTCATCAATAAAGTTTTAGTCTAAGTCAAAAACAATTCATTCGAATACATGAATATCAACTTTGTATAAAATGCAAGAAGTAAATATGAGTAATAAACAACTAAAAACAATAAAAAAAACATTGTCCCAAAGGTGGGTGTGAGGCATCTCCAATTAAGGTAGAATAGATCCAAAGGGGCTATAGACTTGAATTAAGGAATGGGGAGAAACACAGTGACTTATAATTATCAAACTAAGGAAGGGAAACAGAGATTGGAGGCAATGTCCATTATTTGTTAACAACATATATCTGTTCCAAACTTTGTAAAACTTCTTCACTTGAAGGTCTATCTTTAGGATTCTTAGCTACACATTTTAATGCAAGTGTAGCGCATTTAAAAGCATCTTCTAAGGGGTAGTTTTTTCCAAGACGTGGATCCATTATTTTCTTTAGCTCATTTTTGTCTTCTAGAAATGGAATCGCCCACTTTACCAAACCAGAGTAATACCTATGTCTTTGCCAAGCTTGTTGCCCCGTTAGAGCTTCCAACAACACCACTCCAAAACTGTAGATGTCGCTCTTCACACTCAGATGACCTGTAATTTTTTCTTCATATTTACATTTCCATAATTTTTCTAAAATAACTTGTTCTTTATGCTATTTAACAAACATTAAACACAAATTTACCATTGCTTAGGTACCCCGGGTCTAAATAACCCAAGGTACCAATAATACGTGTAGTAACACCTGTTTTCGCAATTTCAGGGCCAAATCTCGCCATCCCAAAACCCCCTAGTTTGACATTAAAATCCTGTATTACAATTAAGTAGAAAAATGGTAAACTTTAGTGGTAAAACCAAAATCTTAAGTAGATTAAGATTACCTCATCCAGCAATATGTTAGATGTTTTAACATCACGGTGTATGACTTGATCTTTTGATGAATGCATATAAGCAAGTCCATGGGCTACTCCTATCATTATCAAAAGTCGTCTTTTCCATGAAAGTAGCTTGGCAACATCCAGTATATCTGTAAAATTTTCCATCTCTCATAAGCTACTACATTGCAAAAATTCAACTTTTGAGTAAAATAAGTATTATTACCTCCAAATAAGTAGTCACCAAAATTTCGATTCTGCATGTACTCATAAACAAGCAAGCATTTGTGTTTTTTATCATCACAATATCCCAAGAGACTAATAATATTTGGATGAGTCAACCATCCTAAGACGCTCACCACAGTCTGATCTCACAGAATTTTAGGTTCATTCAGATAAAGGATTCATAAAACAAAAATAAATTCTAGCATTTTTCTATGAAAAAAATGACTCATGGGTTAATTATATATACAACATAAAGCATAGATATAAAAGTAAGCATACACCTAATGAATAAATGTTAAAGGTGAATGAAGACTCAACTTACATTCCATTCTGGAAGACCTTGACTGTACTTTTTAACAGCAACAGCAATTCCATCACCTTCTGTTGAAGGGGCGAATGTGTTCTTGTCAACCCAACCTAAGAACACTTCTCCAAAACGTCCCCTACCCAAGAGTAAATCTTGACTAAAGTTTTTTGTAGCCCTTTTCAAATCCGTAAACTTAAGTACTCTCAAACTTGGAAAAAGGATTGTGAAATCTTTGTTTTCAGCCTCTAGAGTATCACCAACGTTTCTATTACTTGATAGCTTTGAATCACCATGAGCTGAAATAGATGAACAGAAACAGGTAATTATATGATCACTATTTTGATCATGTGATACCCAATCAATAGTTTTTCCAATTCAACAAGAGCTTGAAATATAATACCAGAGTTCTCTTCGTTTGAAGGAGATGGAAACATATCAAACACTCTTCCAAATATTGATCTACCAGCAGCCTGCAATGAACCATTGCTTTTCTCTTGTAAATTCAGTGCAGACTTAAGACTAACCACAACTTCAGCCATTGTAGGGCGTTGCTTTGGATTGCTTAGCAAACATCTCTCTGCAATTCGAACAAACTCCTTCAAACATTTTGTGGATACTTGACCCCTTATATCACAATCAATTATGCTTTTTAAATTGCCTTCTTTGATTGAACTTTGAGCCCATGCAACTAAACCCCATTGCTCCAAATCAAGACTTTTATCCACCGCATGCTTCCGACATAGCACTTCAAACAACACCACCCCAAAAGCGTACACATCAGACTTCCTTGTCAGCCTTCCAGTTGAGAAATAATGAGGATCAAGATACCCAAAAGTGCCTTTAACAAGTGTGTTGACATAAGTCAACGGCTGGATTGTGGGACCGATTTTGGACAACCCAAAGTCTGATATTTTAGCTGCCCAACTTTCATGTAACAAAATATTTGAGCTCTTGACATCGCGATGTATAACCCCAAATTCAATCCCTGTTCCAGAGTGAAGGTAGTGTAACCCACGAGCTGCACCTATGCAAATCTTGAGTCTCTGAAGCCATGAAAGAGGGGTACCATGTCTATGGAGGTGATCTTCGAGGGTTCCTTTTGGCATGTATTCGTATACGAGGATCTTCTCTTCTTCATGATTACAGTAACCAAACAAAGAAACGAGGTTACAGTGATGGAATTTGGAAAGCATTTCAATTTCTGCCCAAAATTCGGATTCCCCTTGGCTAGACATGGAATCCAACCGTTTAATGGCAGCAACAACAAGACTTGATCCTTTGATAACATTACCTTTGTAAACTTTTCCAAACCCTCCATGCCCAATTTCTAATGATTCATCAAAGTTGTTGGTTGCTAAGAGAATATCAGAGAATTTGAAGTGAATGCAGGGTTGTAACCATTCGATGGAGGAGGAGGTGGAGGGTTGAGATTCCTTGTCATCTTCGGTAGTAGCAGTGAACATGATTATTAATGAAGAAGAAGAAGAAGTGTATGGAATTTAGTGTTCTAGATGATGTTGGAGCTTCATAATCAACTTACAAATTTGTTTATGATAGTCAAACACCCACTACGTTTTTACAATTCTTAATTTTCATAAATTGGCCCACAAAAATTAAAAATCTTTTCTGTTTGACTATTTATCATTTTGTTTTATTTAACAAGATAAGCTTTTATATGATTTTAGTTTATGTGTAACCTTTTGCAACCAATCTAGTCTTGTAGTTTTTGTTTGTAAATCCACAAGGAACTTAATTAGAGCCCTAGAAGTTTACTTTTAGGAGGAGCATCCACTAGTTCCCGTGTATGATTCAGCGGAAAGCCAGAAAGAAAATTTCTCTATTTGATGAAATTTGTATTTCAACCGAATTTAAGTTTCTGCAATCATTTATGATTTTGAACTTGGTAATACAAAATTTCTAATTCGTTTCTATTAATTTTCACACATTCTAATGAACAGGTGTCTTCTGATCAATCAAAGCGATTGAACATGACTAACATCTTAAACAATAGTTTAAAAGAATAAGAATTAGAAAATTGTTGGGTCAAATATTTTTACCTCTTGTGTTTGTTTGACCATTTACTGGTGGGGTTTTCATTGTTCATAACACGATGTTAATCAAGAAAATTCAACTCTCTAGAATATCTTCAACAGTCACGTTTTACATTAAAAAAAAAATGGGTTGAATCATGTCAAAGGCAACACAATACATTATAAACACATGGAACACCATAAACAAACTTTCAATAAATTATGACAAATAACAAACCAACACAATCACCTAACATCTGAACCAAAAAAAATTAATTATGTTAATTCGTCTTCATCCCAAAACCCACCATTGATGCAAAACCCATCATTTCAATAAGAACAAACTCATGAAGCAACTTCCTTTTACCAAAAGGCAGAATATACACACCACATGCTTTTGACTTTTGAGTTTTGAGTTTTGGCCTCTTCCCTCTATTTATTGTTGATGACAACTGACAAGACACCTACTCTTTCTCCCATGACTTTCTAATGAGAATACGAAACAAGACACGACTTACAATGACCAAATAAATAAATAATTTCAAAACCCACATAAATTTCAAGGTAAAATTACATTCAAAACCATGCTAAAATATACTAAATCATGTCTCATGTCTCAAAGAACGTTGACTTGACCAGATGGAAACCTACTATTATGATTCATCATCATTCACTGCATCTTCATTTGCTTCCTTTCTTTCTCAGCTGATTTGGTTTGAGGCAATGTTCCAAACACTTTGTCCCAAAGAGAAGATGTTATGCCATATCCTTTGTTTTGGATCCGAAAATGATGGTTTAAGTGATATTTCTGCATATAAAGTATAAAAGAAACATTATAATAGTTTCATAAATAAAGATGTGTCATGTCTTTTATTATACTTTACCTTGAGACTTCTAGGAACTTGGCTTTTTGGCTGACCATGGTGCACATAGTAATGTGTGACATCATACATCACATAACCAAGTAAAATACCTCCAAACAAAGCAGGAGTAACAGTAGGTGTGGATATCAGTTTCAACACATTCCATAACTGCCAATCAAGCAACTTAAATTAGTAGGTTTCAAATTGGCCAAATTTCAGAAAACCAAATTTAAAAAAAAAAAAAAAAAAAAAAAAAAAACTCTCCTCGGTTTTGAAAAGATTAAGGAAGAGAACATACTGGCACCAAGAGAATTGCTGTTGCAGTGGGAGGGAAAACAAGGCGTAATCCATCCTGAGGGTGTTTGTGATGACAACCATGAAGAAGATAATGAAGGGTGTTGCCCCTGAACATATTTAAAAAGAAAAAGAAAAAGTGAATAAAAACCATGGAAATCATATCATATGGTGTTATTGAGATAGGAATGAAAAGAGAACACACCAATAGCTCTTGGTGTGGATGTGAAAAAGGAAACGATGAAGACTGTATTCCATGAATGACCAAATGAAAATACCCAAAACAAGTATTATTGCTATTTGAGGAAGTGAAAGCCCCATCTTGAATGACTTTGAAGTATACCAACATACAACTGGGAGCCAAATTGATGGAATATAATACCACTCGTTTTTTGTAAGAAACTGTAACATACAACAAAAACTAATTACTATCACCCTCCATGATTTATGCAAGACATGAGTGAACAGGTTTTACTGCATTTGACATGACAGAACAAGTTGTACTGTATTTCACATGCATGATCTCTTGTTTGTGCAAAAGACGTGAATGCCCGCATCGTTGAAAATAGCACTAGAAATATGTGATGAGATTTAACTAAAAACATAGGAAAAAATACCTCCCAGAAGTCACTTTTAAAGAATCGTGGGCCTTCCTTGCTGACAATAGGTTGGTGAATCCATTCTTGATAAGCTTCTCCAAGATGGCCAACCTTTATATTCAAAGATTTTTACAATTAGAAGATAAACAAGAAACAAACAATTAAAATTCATGAAAAGGAAATTGACTATTTGTAACACATGAAAAAATCTTGTGAGATTGTATCAACATTGTGAATTTGTCTCTAATGGTGAAGATGGTTAAATAAGTGAGTTTCAACTTGGCTAGATATGTAAAAATGGTGTTGTAATTTTCCAGTTCATTGGGTGTACAAAGAGGGAAATTGTTTAAATTGTCATTGGATGGAATGATTAAAAGGGACAGAAATTATAATAAACATTTACCTGGAAGACAAGAGGCTTATCTAAATCCACAGTGAATTCTTGTGCTACCATTTTGAAACCTGAAGATTTTAATCAAAATTAGGAACAAAAGAATCAACCATATAAAGCTTACCAGATTAAGCCTTGTCCCATTAAGTCCATTAAGTAATGAAAAAGAAACAACACCTAAATGCAACTGAATTGCCACAAAAGAAACAACAGATAACTGAAGAACATGTTCAATCTCACAACCCAAATCACCATACACCATTAATACTTGATTAGATAATCCACAAAGATACAAGTGGCAGGTTGGCTTATGTGTGATGGTGATTGATTATCTTTTCACTTAATTAAACATATTATGAGATCATAAAGTCCCTATCTTGCATCAGAAAATGTTCACATTGGTCTACATATTGTGCTTTTCGATGGGATTAGGAGAATTGTCATTGCAAATGTGGGATTCAAATCTTTTTAAATTCAAATTTTAGCATAAATGAACAATAGATTGTGCAAGATGACATAAATTTGGGGGTAATCGCACCAATAAATGTAGGTAAACTTGAACAGAACATCCATGATAATCGTGATTTTAAAACAGTATCTACACACAGCCCTTAAAAGTAAAAAGAAAACACACATTATAAACCAGAATTATCCATTTAGACCCATGAAATTAGAGCACACGAACAAATATGAATCAGAATCCGACGAATCCGAATAACAGAAAACATAAAAACTGCAGATTAACACATTAACGACGCCAAAAACAAGGCGAACTCAAACAGAACACGTTTAACAGTTCATATATTTAGACACGGAAAACAGAGATCTCCAACCCTAAAACGGCAAAAAAGATAAATCCATACAGAACATACAAAAACACCTAACACGGTAACAGAGATAAACCAGAATTATTCATTTACACGTACGAACGCAAAACACAGGAACAAGACGAATCACAAACCCACAATGTGGACCCGAAAAAGCCCTAAAAGAAGACATTAATAGCACCCAAAAGAAGACGAATTCAAATCACAAGAAAAAGGAAACAAAGAGCGTTCCAAATAGTAAACAAATACCCACCTCGGAGAAAAGGATTTCAGCAAGACAGATCTATGAAGAGCTCTAAGGGCTGGTTTACTGTTATTCGATGAAAGAAGTGGTTTGTGGGTGTCACAGGAGTGTGATTTAGTTGTGGTGCTGGAGAAGAAAGAGACTGTCGATTTTTTGAAATGAATCTGGTTGCGATGGATGGATGGATGGATGGATGAATGGATGATCAAAGGCGTGGATTTCTTGTAAGCATCATGGAATCGCCAGCAGATGCTCGTTAGATAACGGTTGCCAGTCTGTGAGGATCCATTATATAATGATATATATATGCATATACCAATTTTGATAAAACTTATGATTAAATAATTAGCTTAAATAACTTTTACGTGTGAAACTAATTAGCTTTATATATGTATAATTTATATATGTATAATATGTAATAGGTAATCTATAGTAAAATTAGGATTAATTATTACCAAAAATGCATTTATGATATGGCCTCAAAACACTCGATAATCTATGACGAATACAACAGTGTTATTAGTTTTGAAATTGGACGATTTGAAAATTACATAGACGTAGCGGGTAAACGAGCAACAAGCTGTGCCGCAACCCTTTTTTGGATGGCAAAATCAATTCTTTTAAACACAACATCTATAGATCTTAGAGTCATAACATTACAATACATGACCCGTTGAACTCTATTGAGTAGCTCAACAGCTTCTGGCGCAAGGAAACCGAAAGTATCAAATGCAAAGGGTATAAACGTGTGTTGATTTTTCATGCACGTTTTCTCATGTTTTGCCACTTTGCTTGATGCAGCTTTTAAAGCAGCTTGCCCCACTGTGAAAACTCCACTCCCCAAGCCCACAAGAGGGAAGACCCCTGTTAGATCCACACATGCATGTTTTCCTCCAGCCCATCCAAATACCAAGACATCAGCTGGTCTAAGTGTTGATCTTCCTTCCAATGGGTCAGTCAAAAAGTTCACAGGTATCTCTTTCTTGGTAGAAACCCCAGCGCGTCTAAATATGTCAAACAGAACATCCCTAACCAGATCGTGTCGGTACTTGAAACCCGAGAGCTCTTTACAATGAACTGCATGCTCCCCAAACGAGTCCAAACACGCCTTACGACAAACAGGGCAAGTCTTGTCAACCGGAAATAAAGGGATCATAAGGCGATACTTAAGGATGGCACGATACTCCACTGGCGACATATGTTGGCCAAGACTGTCAATAGGAATAGTCATAAGAAAATCCTGAGCATGTGGGGCCCTTAGACACTCAAAAATAGCTTTCTGGCTAATCGTCATGCCGAAGTGAACTTCCATGTCTTGGACAATTTTATTAAAAAGGGCACTCGCCAATAAATGTTGGGCTTTTGGAGGGGCGGTGTCCTTATTAGTGAAACCGCTAAAGTCAAAGCCCGGAATCGTATCATGAAGACAGGCCAAAGCACAATGAATCCATACCACATATGCCGCTATTTCGTAAGGTATGGTCTTGTAACACCCACGATTGAGCCTGTGAGGCAACAAAAGCATATGAGGAAGCCTCTACTACTGAGTACAACCCCAAACCACCAAATTTAATTGGTAACAAAGCCAGTCGCCATTGAATATCCCCAAAGAACGGACCCCCACAAACCACAATATCTTCAATCGACTCACGTAACCCTTTATCAAAACACAGAGCAGCCTCTTCCATGTGACCGGGTTGGCACGTTCTCAGACCAAAGAAAAGTTTGGCGATGCCCATGCAAGATCGAAGCAAAAGAAGCTCACTTTGGGGGTCATGTAACTATGGCAGAAGGCTTATCAAATCCACAGCCTTGGCAGCCCTCTTCATGGCTAACCCACTAATAAAACTCACGTCTCTACTAACAGCTCCCCCAAGAAGCTTTACCGCCACTGACGGTCGGCCAATGTCTGCAGGGAATAAACCTGAACGAAGCTTCCTACCATCGCATGAAGGCCAAAATAGCTCAGTTTTCTTGATATTCAGCTCAAGCCCCAATCCAGGGACTGCCACCCTAATGATGTCCAAAACTCTAGCCACCTCCTCTGAATCTCCAATGATTGTCCCGTCATCAAGGTACCAAGCACGAAGAAGAAGCTTACAATTGTCTATAATTTGATGTATAAGTGGGTGCAGTACAAGAGCAAAAAGAAGTGGTCCCAAAGGGTCACCTTGCTGGACCCCGGTAGTAGACCAAATATGCTTATTTCCCAAATACAACCTTGTTGCATGGCCATATAAGAATTCGACCCAAAAGGAAATGGAAGGGCACCTCATTTTGACCTCGTGAAGTAAGGCAGATCTATCCACTAAATTGAAGGCATTTGAGAAATCCACAGTAAGCATTGCAAGAGATTCGTCATCATGTCGTGCACTCAACACCCAATTAACACTATGAAGTACAGCTTCAGCACCACCCGACACACCTACTCCAAATTGAAAGTCATTAAGGTATTGCGTCATTTCTTTACCAACTCCTTTCATAGCAACCTTCGAGACCAAACACCTCCATATAGTGACCATGGCAATAGGACGAATTCCATTGTCAGGTTTTAGAAGCGTAGTAAGCGGTGCAGATGCACAGATTCCGCCAGACATGATGGACATCTTCCCCCTAACCACAGGTTAACCACTACGGTGATGGTATGTAGGAGATATGTGGCTATAGCTAGTAGATCCTTCCCCACATAGAGCATCTAAAATATGTTGAGCTCTCAAACCGTCTCTCCCGCAAGAAGTTCCTTTAGGGAACGATTTAATACAACTAAGGACATTATCAATATCTGCTATAAGGGGAGGCTCGGAATAAATGGTGCTCGGCATGGATGGGGGTGGCTTGTTGTAACAGCGTAATTTTTCAAAACAATTTTTCATTTCTTTAAAACATAATTTCATTCAAAACAAACCATAAAAATCCAATGTAACGTAGTCATAATACAAAACATGTCCAATCCCAAGATCAACTTTATCCAAATCCGCCTGCGGGTGTGTGTACGAGTCATGTTGGCGCCTTCCCACGATCTTCGCTAGTACCTGAAACACATGACACAACAACTATAAGCATAAATGCTTAGTGAGTTCCCCAATATACTACTTACACACATACACCCTTCCAGGCCATGACCTTCCGGTCCATGTGTCTCAGGAGACTTACGTCCCAACTCGGTAAACCTTCCGATCCTACCCGTGTCGACCTTCCGGTCCATAACTCCCTGACCTTCCGGTCTACATCATAATGCATTTCGGCCCATAACATAATGCCTTCCAGCCCATATCAAGCATATCATACATAACACATACAAAACAGGCAACTAATAACATACAATGCATATATCTTATAGCATACCAGACCTTCCGGTCACACATAGGTACCCTTCCAGGTAAAGTATAGTGAGAAGAGTCACCTCGTATGATGTCTAGTGTCTCACATGCTCGATATCTCTGAATCTCGCAACAATGACCTAGCCTCGCCTAATCACATCAAGTAATTATTCCAAATCATTAACAGCTCTCAAGGCTATACTATATTCCTTTCTAAAATTCCACATAAGGGTAAAAGACCATTTTACCCCTCCTTGTCTCAAAAGTCCACATGTTGACTAAAACCCTAAAAGTCAACAACAAGCAGTACGCGGGGCGTACCCTTGCACTCCAGAAACGGGGAACGCGACCCCCTACACGACGCGTACTAGGATTACGCCCAACGTAATGCCCAGTTTCTTTATCCAACACATTCAGGTCTTAAACGGTTAAGACTTGCATCCAAACTTCATATTTAACTCCTCTAATATGTCTTAATCCATAAAATTGAAACCTTTAAGCCTTTGCATGGCTGTAAAGGTCACTTTGTGCTCAAAACACCTTTCGTCTTTCCATAATGAGACTATAACTCATGCATGACACAAGATCCACGTCCAAGACTAGATTTTTATGACTCCTCAACACATTATACACTAGAAAAGGTCATATCTAAGCTTATGGAGACTCTTTGCACATAAAGTCTCCAACTTTGAACCGAAAACCCTAAAAATGGTCCAAAAGCAAAACTTATGAAGAACAAGGAAAGCTTTGAGCTTTTTACCTCAGAAAGGATCTCCAACCCACTGTAGAACTCGGATCTACACTTGTTCTTCAACTCCCTAGTTCCAACAATGGCTCCTTCTTCACCTTGAAAATATAACTTCAAGCTCAA